GTAGTTTAAACTGTACACAATTGTAAGGGCATTAAATGTTTATCAGTATGGGTGGTTTATTGAGGGCATAAGCTATTTAGTCTGTACAGTGGAAGATCTACGTTCGAATCCGCTACTCTAGCGATCAAGAATGGTAGAACTAAGTGAGATCACACAGCCGATATGGATTTCTCTACAGCAGTGACTACTTTACAGACAACATTCTAGGTACTCGTAAACTATAATTAACTTACCCAAGCATATGTAAAAACTGAGACATTTCCAGATTGCCTTGAAAATTGACAGTATACAGGCACAGATTAACACATCTGGAGGCTTGAGAAGCTGGCAAGGAGAATGGCGTCAGTTAGACATTTCAGGCGTTGGTACAAAAGAAGTTCCTTGTATACTGGGGCAAGGAGTAAATCGGTTTCCAAGAAACCTCAATTAACTCCCTAAATATATCCCCAAGAGATATACATTTAAAAGTGGAGTTTAGTTAAAGTACCCAGAAAAGGCAGACATAATAATGTTGTCCAATACAGGCCTATATATATAGATATAAGGGACTATATATTTCTGGGCGAGTCCAAGTTTGAATTTTGTGCAGATTACAGGTAAGACAGGTTATCAGCCTTACAGACCGATGCGTAATGGCTATCATTTCACGACAGTTGAGTTGAGTCAAGAACTGATATCACAGCACTTGGGGCATACCCATGCATGCTCCATCCTCATCTTCAGCAGCCAGCATAGAGTTCCAGTACTGATAGGTACCATCTGGTTATATGTCTGTCTTGCCTTTCCTCTGAGTGTAGTGAGCTGACCAGACCCTCTGGTTACATCTAGATGTCTCATTCCCTCCAAGCCATAATAATTGTCTTTCTCTACTGATTCCGTTGCTTGTTCCCAAAGGGCCTTGACCATATCTGCCTTGTCATGTATCAGTTCACCACCCAGTGGTGCAGATCCTTTATTAATAGCATCAAAATGTTCATTACAAGCACTGGAATATGTACATTTCTAACTACAGAAAACCGTAGACATTGTATTAAGTCTAGGGGAAATGTGCGCTGTTTCTCAAATATTTTTTATATTCTTTGAGGGCATGTAATCTATGCTCAGATAAAATTCAAACAGTTTCCCACTGTATGTATAGGGACTATTGGTATTTTTGATTTGCTGTGGAAGATAGCTCCACAACTGAGCTGCGGATGAGAATCACTATGGCACTGAATAAAAAACAAATGGACTGAGGAAATGAGGCCATCCTAGAGAAACCCTGAAATGAACACTGATGAGAGAGGCCAAAGGTACTGGACTGATTGCACTGGATAGAAAAGAATGGAAGACTAGACTGGGATCCCTTTGTGATGTATAATGACACAACCTGATGATGATGATAGACTACTTATGTGGGTTCTGGGACCCTACTTGTAGGAAGAAACAAGAAAAGACCCACTGTTTCCCCTTCCCCCTCCCCCCAACAAGCATGTCATAGAAGTAGACTGATTAGGGAAGTTTCCTTCAAAGTCAGACTGCATCTGCCTGAGAGGCAAGAAACCAGCAGTCTGCACACAAATAAACTAAGTTTATTAAATTGGATGTGCAAGTTCTGGAGCAAGACTTAAGTCCAGAAGTGCGTGAACAAACAGAACTTCCCGCCAGAGTTTACAGCCTGTAAATGCAAAGAAAAAAAAACAGCACTGACCAGTGACAAGTAAAATGTCTCTGTCCATCTTATCAAGCCCCTGCCTCAAGCCTTCCATGTTGGCTCCCCGGGTAAGTCTTGCCCAAGTGGTTATAACCTTCTCAGCCCGACTGGTCAGATCAAAGTTGGTGAACTTGCCGATGTCATCGAGACAGTCGGGGTTGAGACCAAGCATCCGTCCTAACCTGTGCCAGTCAGAACCTGGGGGAAAATTGGTAAAGAATGTCAAAATACAATATATATATATATATACTAGCTGTACCCGGCCACGTGTTGCTGTGGCCCAGAATAGTGAAATGGAGAGTGAAAAAAATAGCACTCAGCTAACAGTGTCTGACATAGTTAAGAAATGAGAACTTTAAAATAATATTTTAAACTCTCTCAGCTAACGGTGTCTGGCATAACCCCCCCCCCCTTCCCCCCCCCCCCACACCAATCATATCTCCCTCTCCGAAGATTGAAAAATCATCACCTGGCGAAATTATTCAAATAGAAATAGTTGAGGAATGAGAACTTTAAAATAATATTTTAAGCTCTCTCAGCTAACTGTGTCTCGCATAACCCCACCCCCTCCCCCAATCATATCATCCTCTCCTAAGGATGGGAAAGTCACCATGTGACGAAATATTGTAACTAAATTGAGCTTGACATCTGTGTCCACCCAGACTTAAATAGGTAGCATTAACATGTACAGAGAAGTAAATGTGGCCAGTGTAACAGCTACCACATCACGCATCCAGTACCAGTACTACTGCAACCACTACCACCACCACCATCACAACAACAACAAAAACTGTCACTACAGTCTGTGTAGGTCGGTGTAGAAAAGAGGAGTTAGCGCCGTATGCTGTCGCCATGGATTTTTTAGTTTAATGTTGCCCTCGACATAAAAAAAATGTATCACTTAACCAGTGATGGAGCCCACAGTAAAAAGTACACTATACTCATGAATAGCAGAAAAAAATACCCCGCACCCGTCATCTCTCCCTCTCCGAAGGAAGGATTTTTAACTGACCTTGGCATCCGTGTCCACTCAAACTAAACTGGACTGTAAGCCGTCTTAGTTAACAGTTTCTGTCATCGCCGAATAGTTTTTGATTGAGAAGCGTCACGGGGAGGCTAATTGGGACTTAACCCACAACACAACGTGGCAACCACCCTTTTAAGAGAAAAAGAAAATTATCACCCAGCAGGGAAACAAACACTGGTCACCTGCGTGAAGGATGAAATACTTACAACCATACTACCGAAGACTGAAGAGTTTAGGTCAGATATCGCAGCCTAGCTGTAAACCACAACAAAATGTGCCAACGGCCCTCTCGAGGGCGAACGAAGATTACCTGTGACATGACCATTGAGCATCACGTCGCCGCTGTCGCAGGCTAGCTGTAAATCCCAAAACCGAAAAAAGGCATAGATATCGCAGCCTAGCCATAAACCACAACACAACATGCCAGCCACCCAGTTAAGGGCTGAAAAAAACATGTATATCACCCAGCCGGGAATCGAACGCGGGTTATCCGAATGATAGGCAGAATAGTTACAACTACGCTACCAAACAGACAAACAAATAGTGGAAATTAAATTATATAGTAATGCAAAGTTTAAAAAAAAAAAGAGCTCAGAAGTAAAAAATGGCCAATCAACTAAAAACAAATCCGGGCCGGCAACGAAACAAATAATGATTTGACCGTTGCTGGAGATACATTGTTCGTGGTTTGTGCGAATTTCTGACAAAAAATCACGCTTTGAATCAAAGGCAACGTTGTGTGAAAATTTTAAAGCAATCGGTTCAGTAGTTTCCGAGTCTATAGTTAACAAGGTAGGAAAATTAACATTTTTATTAATATAGATTACTACATAGTCTGGGTGCCGTGGCAGCACAGTGGCTAGATACTGTGACCCCTGCCTTGGGTTCATCATATTGTTCTCCTTCTTCACAGTTTCATCCCATGATGTAACTGTGTTGCGTCCGTTTACAGCACAACTGCAATATTTGTTTGTGCTTTTTGGCTGACACATCCAGCTTTTGCAGACATTTGTTGACCAAGTTAGCCTTCCCGGGATCTATGGTTTTAATCTGCACCGAGGTGGATTTACTTCAAAACTGTCACTGCTCTAAGGTCAACCCAGCCCAAAATGGCTACCAGGTAATGTTCTGGAAAGTAAATGAGACCAGTTTGATGTTGACCACATTACCCAATGAGTTCTGATTGATCTATATGGGGCTCCAGAAGCCACACGTGAAGAACATGGATTTAAACATCACAGTAACTTTGAAATTACAAGCTCTACATTCAAGAAGCTGGTGAATAATTATCCATAAGCATGGAAGAAGCAGGGACAAACCTGACATCATCAACTCTGTACAAGATTAGGCTGGTAGACAATGATGAATCTCTGCTGCTAACACAATTGTGTGACCTGGGAGTCAAGCTTGGTGAAGCAAATCTATGATAGCATTGAGGCCAGGCAGGGGACACTTTTATTAACTTTTCATAGGAACAATCAGTAGAGGTACCTTGGAATGGCTGCTGCATTGGAGGACCGAACACATAAGGGAATGCCCACTACGCAGTGACATCAGTTGTGATAACATTTTCTTTTTTCTTCTTCTCAGTGTTTACAGGCTGTAAACTCTGGAGGAAACTTTTCGTTGTTCATCAAGTTCTGGAATTAAGTCTTATTTCAGAACTTGATTTTGCTTGCACATCCATTTGACAGAACTGGTTTATTTGTATGCAGTCTGTTGGTTCCTATCCTCTCAGGCAGATACATTCTAACTTTGAAGGAAACTTCCCTAATTAGTTACCTTGTATGACACACTTGGCAGGGGGTCCATTCTCCACCACGGCTGCGGAACCCACACAGGCAATTGTGATATCATAACAGAACATAACATTTACCTATAAGCCGCTCCAGCTTGGACATTGTATCAATGACATCTGCAGGAGGTTTACAGTCTATTAATGTCTGTCTCTGATTGGCTGCCACAGTCAGGTGATTCACAAGCTTATTTACTGCAACAATCTTGCAAGCACAGCTTGATTTTCTTTGTCCCAGGTATGTTAATTGTTCTGTTGATATGGAAACAATAAACATTTTCGAAATATTTGGCAGGATGTCAAAAAGTAAGTCACAAATGGTAATGGTATGGCAGGAAAATGTAGTTGGTGGTAGGTTTTTAAAGGTGTCATTAGGTGACAGCAACATCATACTCTTACGTCTCCATTTGTTAGGTGACAATAGGTGTTGCATGTGCATTTGCAACATAGAAACAAAATGGTGACAGTACTTACGGAGTGTACCCTAAAATAAAAAAAAATGTCATGTCGTGCGTTTTTTGGGGGGGTTTGAGGGGGAGGTGGGAAGAGGCAAAAGGGCTGCCTGCAAAGAATATTCATAAGATGCTGAAAAATGTTTATCCTGTAAAGTGTCACTATCGGCCTGAATCAAAGTGTGCTTCAATGCAATGGAAACATTCTTCTTCGGCTTGTGTTCAAGAAATTCAAGGTTACGCCATCAAGGTTATGCTGATGGTGTCCTGGGAAGGAGTACTTTTAACTAATCTAAAACAAAGAGGTGACAATGTGAATGCTGATTCATACTGCAAAGTTCTATCAATGCTACATGATGCAATTTGATGAAAACATCCACGCTGCTGACTAGAGGAGTACTGCTCCTTCATAGCAATGCCAGATCACATACGGCTTGGTTAACTCAGGAGAAAATGAACCATCTAGAGTGGGAACTTCTGAAACCTCTACCTTAGAGCCTCGTCTTAGCCCCTAGCGATTTCCACATTTCTGGTCCACCAAAAACCAAACCTGCCCACCTTGGCGGGAGACATTTCATGAATGACGCAAAAGTTGACTGTGAAGCGAAAATGTGGTTTAGAAAACAGAGCATACAGTTCTATGCAGCAGGTTTTGGAGGACGGATAAAATGATGGGACAAGTGCATCGATGTTGGTGGAAATTATGTGGAAAAATAAAGGGACAGTGTATGTGTAAAAATTAACAATTTAAAGCTGTTAGTGTCTTAAGTTTTTTTTTAATTTTTTTTTTAAACAACCATTAGTGGCTTACTTATTGACTTCACCTCGTAGCTTTAACATTATCATTAATGACAATTTATGTGGACAGAAGATTCAGGAAAGCTCTCTAGCTCCTGGCAGTGTTTCTCTTTGATACGAATACGAAAGCTGTAAAACATATTGCTGCTGCTTCCTCCTGTTTCTCCTCTTCAGTGTGGGGATCAAGTTAGTGACTCTGAGACTGAAAAGTTTTCAGGATATTTAAAATTCTACCTGTAACAAATCGACTATAATGTATAATGCTGTTATCAATTCAAATGTGGCCAAGGTGTCTCCTATGCCAAATGAGTGCCGGTCTTATGAGTATATAGGTTTTATACTGCTGGTGCAGCACCCTAGCAAAGGGAGACTACTATGTATGTCATCCCAATAAACTTTTGGCAAATAAGAGTTATGGACCATTTCTCAAATAATAAAACAGAAAACAAGGGCTTTTTAAATTAAATGTTACAGCTTAAAAAAAATAAATAAAGGTAAAAGTAAAGGTGAGAGGATCAAGTTAACTGCACTGGGTTTTATCCTATATGGCTCAGTCTCTCTCTGCACAAAAATTAGCCGCCTGCAGAGAGCATTACACACAGAATGACCTCTGTAGCTCCGGTGATGATCCCCAGGGGTCTCTGTGGCTGAACAGCGCCACCATGAAAAGAACCCATGACTTTCAGAGCATGAGGCAAATAGCTTGACCACTTCACCACGGAAGGGAATCAATAAAAAGAAAAACGTTGACATTCTACAAAAAAGTGAACATTGAAATAAACTGGCTCTTTAACAACATAATTTCTCAAAAATTGAATATCTTGGCAACTAAATTTCATCAATGGTTAAGTCATCCTTAACTTGCACAAGACTGCAGGTTACACTAGGCTGATGTAGCCATTAAAGATGTCCCAGTTATAACTTCTTTGAAGGCTGAAGAAGGCATGTGAAATTTGCCCTCTTGGCTAGCTATACAGATTCACCTGGGTTCATATGGGTTAAGGTCAACATCACAGCATCCATGACGAGCCGATATTAGCTCTGTCTCCCTCCTCAACAGCCAGTAAAGAGTTTCCATACTGATGGTACTCACTATCATCTTGTTAACTACTTGTCTTGCCTTTTCCCTGAGTCTTGAGTGGCGCCCAAAGCCTACAGACACTACCTTCTGCATCATTATTGTCAGGTACTAGTTTTCAGTATCTTCCATTTTACTTATTGCCTTATCTTATCTCACAGGTGAGGGATCACCTTTGCCTTGTGTAGTAGTTTTCAGTATCTTTCATTTTACTTATTGCCTTATCTTATCTCACAGGTGAGGGATCACCTTTGCCTTGTGTAGTAGTTTTCAGTATCTTTCATTTTACTTATTGCCTTATCTCACAGGTGAGGGATCACCTTTGCCTTGTGTAGTAGTTTTCAGTATCTTCCATTTTACTTACTGCCTTATCTCACAGGTGAGGGATCCCCTCTGCCTTGTGTAGTAGTTTTCAGTATCTTCCATTTTACTTACTGCCTTATCTTATCTCACAGGTGAGGGATCACCTTTGCCTTGTGTAGTAGTTTTCAGTATCTTTCATTTTACTTATTGCCTTATCTTATCTCACAGGTGAGGGATCACCTTTGCCTTGTGTAGTAGTTTTCAGTATCTTTCATTTTACTTATTGCCTTATCTCACAGGTGAGGGATCACCTTTGCCTTGTGTAGTAGTTTTCAGTATCTTCCATTTTACTTATTGCCTTATCTCACAGGTGAGGGATCACCTTTGCCTTGTGTAGTAGTTTTCAGTATCTTCCATTTTACTTACTGCCTTATCTTACAGGTGAGGGATCACCTCTGCATTGTGTAGTAGTTTTCAGTATCTTTCATTTTACTTACTGCCTTATCTCACAGGTGAGGGATCACCTTTGCCTTGTGTAGTAGTTTTTCAGTATCTTTCATTTTACTTATTGCCTTATCTCACAGGTGAGGGATCCCCTCTGCCTTGTGTAGTAGTTTTCAGTATCTTCCATTTTACTTACTGCCTTATCTTATCTCACAGGTAAGGGATCACCTTTGCCTTGTGTAGTAGTTTTCAGTATCTTTCATTTTACTTATTGCCTTATCTCACAGGTGAGGGACACCTTTGCCTTGTGTAGTAGTTGTCAGTATCTTTCATTTTACTTATTGCCTTATCTCACAGGTGAGGGATCACCTTTGCCTTGTGTAGTAGTTTTCAGTATCTTTCATTGTACTTATTGCCTTATCTCACAGGTGAGGGATCACCTTTGCCTTGTGTAGTAGTTTTCAGTATCTTCCATTTTACTTATTGCCTTATCTCACAGGTGAGGGATCACCTTTGCCTTGTGTAGTAGTTTTCAGTATCTTCCATTTTACTTACTGCCTTATCTTACAGGTGAGGGATCACCTCTGCATTGTGTAGTAGTTTTCAGTATCTTTCATTTTACTTACTGCCTTATCTCACAGGTGAGGGATCACCTTTGCCTTGTGTAGTAGTTTTCAGTATCTTTCATTTTACTTATTGCCTTATCTCACAGGTGAGGGATCCCCTCTGCCTTGTGTAGTAGTTTTCAGTATCTTCCATTTTACTTACTGCCTTATCTTATCTCACAGGTAAGGGATCACCTTTGCCTTGTGTAGTAGTTTTCAGTATCTTTCATTTTACTTATTGCCTTATCTCACAGGTGAGGGACACCTTTGCCTTGTGTAGTAGTTGTCAGTATCTTTCATTTTACTTATTGCCTTATCTCACAGGTGAGGGATCACCTTTGCCTTGTGTAGTAGTTTTCAGTATCTTTCATTGTACTTATTGCCTTATCTCACAGGTGAGGGATCACCTTTGCCTTGTGTAGTAGTTTTCAGTATCTTCCATTTTACTTATTGCCTTATCTCACAGGTGAGGGATCACCTCTGCCTTGTGTAGTAGTTTTCAGTATCTTCCATTTTACTTACTGCCTTATCTTATCTCACAGGTGAGGGATCACCTTTGCCTTGTGTAGTAGTTTTCAGTATCTTCCATTTTACTTACTGCCTTATCTTACAGGTGAGGGATCACCTCTGCATTGTGTAGTAGTTTTCAGTATCTTTCATTTTACTTACTGCCTTATCTCACAGGTGAGGGATCACCTTTGCCTTGTGTAGTAGTTTTCAGTATCTTTCATTTTACTTATTGCCTTATCTCACAGGTGAGGGATCACCTCTGCCTTGTGTAGTAGTTTTCAGTATCTTCCATTTTACTTACTGCCTTATCTTATCTCACAGGTAAGGGATCACCTTTGCCTTGTGTAGTAGTTTTCAGTATCTTTCATTTTACTTATTGCCTTATCTCACAGGTGAGGGACACCTTTGCCTTGTGTAGTAGTTGTCAGTATCTTTCATTTTACTTATTGCCTTATCTCACAGGTGAGGGATCACCTTTGCCTTGTGTAGTAGTTTTCAGTATCTTTCATTTTACTTATTGCCTTATCTCACAGGTGAGGGATCACCTTTGCCTTGTGTAGTAGTTTTCAGTATCTTCCATTTTACTTATTGCCTTATCTCACAGGTGAGGGATCACCTTTGCCTTTGTTAAGTAGTTTTCAGTATCTTTCATTTTACTTACTGCCTTATCTCACAGGTGAGGGATCACCTCTGCCTTGTGTAGTAGTTTTCAGTATCTTTCATTTTACTTACTGCCTTATCTCACAGGTGAGGGATCACCTCTGCCTTGTGTAGTAGTTTTCAGTATCTTTCATTTTACTTACTGCCTTATCTCACAGGTGAGGGATCACCTCTGCCTTGTGTAGTAGTTTTCAGTATCTTTCATTTTACTTACTGCCTTATCTCACAGGTGAGGGATCACCTCTGCCTTGTGTAGTAGTTTTCAGTACTTCCATTTTACTTACTGCCTTATCTCATAGGTAGTACACTCCAAGTGGGGCCAGCCCAGCCAGCCTGTCTGTCTGCTCATTTTGCCCACACAGCCCGAACAAAATAACCATTTGACTCTCACCACCTGTTACCTCTGGATTGATGTTACCTATTTCAAATAAATTGCTATACAGACTGAGATTGTTTATTCTCAGGCTGAGCAAACTATCAGGTTGGCAGCCCAGAGTGGGAACACTGGAAAAAGAAAGAGTCAATGGCTAAATCCAGGCTGGTATAGCCATTATAGATATCTCATCTCGTCTGACAGGAATTAGTTTCATTTTTGTGCAAGAACACACAGAGATAAAAGGGAATGAATGAGCGGATTGGCTTGATGTCAGGGCCATGACAGGTACAAGAAATGCTCTCAATAGGCGAGGACGACTCCCATATATCTGACCATGACTGAGAATCACAGTCAAAACTACCATCATGAATAGTGCTGACAAAATTCCCAGCTAGAAAATAATCTTCTGGATATCAGTCCTGCCTTCAATTCTTCTGAGCACTTATGTGACCATTCTGATGAATCTTCCACATGATTGAATTCCTTCTCAGCAAGGTAGGTCTGCCCATTATTTCTGGGTCAGTTCACTTCCCTTCTGTCAGTGCCGAAGGAGCGATGTAGAAGAGCGCATTGTTTCCATCTGCCCATGACTCATTTGTAGAAGTAATCAGAGCCCCATTTGCCACCTTGTCTTTTAGGAATTTAAGTGTCTGGGGCACTCTTTCGGCTCATCCACCTTTTCAGGTTTGTCTTCTACAACACTGGTTTTTCCTCTTGCATTCTTTTCCAATTTTCTCCTCTTATAATTTCTCATTTGGCACTGTTTTGCTTATGGAGCACAATATTTTTGATGTAGCCAATCTGTTCTGAATGCTCACATATGAATTAATCCAATTAGGTATCCCTTTCAGCTGTGTTCCTGGAGCCAGTATGCTTCCTGCACTTTTCTTCTGCTCTCTTGGGATCAAGTTTGACTTCTTCTATCCACCACGGTAATCATGTCCCCGCAAGCTTACCACTTGGGACTTCACCACATTCTTTCCACATAGTAGATCTCATAGAAATATTCTTGAATCTGCACAAAGGGCTTCAGTGTCATCTGACTTGGGAAGATCCTATTGCCCACTATAAGCTCCTGGTATGAGACCTTAATTATCTGTCTCAGCTTGTAGCAACTTAAACCTCATACCTTCTGAATTTTGCTGTGTGTTCTTGCTCGTCAAGTGTGTTGCCTTGAAGTTCTTTCAGTTGCCCACTTCAAGAGATGATAGTGGTACCTTTCAATCTCTGGTCCTCTCACCAATAAATCCTATCACAAAACTTATGAACTGCTCCCTAACTATGGACGTAGTGAATGATGGATGGCGGTTTAGCTTTGAAGCCAGGCACATCTTCGTGTATGCAGAATACGCTTGTGGAATTTCTCTGTGTCAAGAAGACAAGACGTTCCCTGCAGAATCTGAGAAGTCGCTTGCCAAAAGGACTTCACAAACATCTTCACATAAGATCTACCGGATTCCACCTACCAATCTAAAGTGAATCATTTCCTACTTCTGGTCCTTCAGAGACTATAAGGATAATTTCATCGTGACCAGTCATCTAGGTCTATACAACAGTTTCAAAGAATTCTTCAGTAAAATTACTAGGTGCCTCAATTCATTTGTTCCTGGTGTTATCAGTGGAATTGACAATTGTATTCCTTCACAATTTCAGAGTTCTTCCACCAGTTAATGGATTCTGCCATATTTCGCATCTGAGGAGTTTACTAACAGAGGTCCATCTTACAGCCAACTGCCCTTATGGGATCTTCCTCTGATGCAACAATAAGGAGGCAGCTTCTTTCGATCAACTAAGTGGCTCTCTCTCGTATGTTCTTAAGGGTCTTGTAGAACAGTTTGTTGGTCTTTCTTGTAGACTTTTCTTCTCTTCCATGATTTCGTTTTGGCTTCTATAGCACAATATCTGTGATTCCATTAGATGCCACAATGTTCTTGGCCCAGTAGACTCCTAATTTGCTTTTCCTCATCTCCCTACTAACTCGTTTTCCTTTACTGTTTAATGCCTCTTGTGATATATTCCTTGTGCTCAGATAAATCCTGTCATCCAGAGTAGCAATGCCAGTTCGTCGCCATCCCTCTTATTGTTGCAGTTCTCTCTCTGGTTACTTGTGCCTGTTGGAGCATCATTGGTTTAATAAGTGGATGGCCGCGACTTTGCATGACTGGAGGGGAAAACGAAACTTGAATGAATTTTCCTCCTCCAAGCATGCCGCAAAGCACAATCACACATACCCTGCGGGGGGGAAATTTCTCCAATGACAGAATGAAGCACCCAGGTTTATTCTCACCATACCCTCCTCCTTTTACTTAGCCGGGTACACCCGTTCTTAGGCGAGATAAGTTTCATCGAATCAACTAACTCTTCTATAGATATAACCATTGACTTCTTTCATTGGCCCGTACGACTGACAGTGTATCTGGATCTTGCTCTGCTGGCATGAGCCATCCAGATGGACAACATCTCCTTGCAGCCAACACTCCCTTAGTTATTCAATGATTGATTGATGATGATGTTCCAGAGACACATGGAATGAGTTAGTAACATTAGAGACAGCTTGCTAGCATCTCCCTGATGTTTGAAAGTAAAGGGTCCATGAGGAGAAAGTGATGCATGCATGCACACACGCGTCTATTTATGTATTTGTGTGTGTGAGTAAAGAGTGAGTGTGTATGTGTGTGTGCGCGCTCATGCATATATTTACCATCCATGCTTCTGTGTGTTTTCCTTGATATTCTTATTATCCATATGGTTATATAAACACAACATTCTTTATTGATAAAAGACAATTGCTATGTAAAAGATCTGTGTTTGCAAGGACTGAATATTACATGGGCCTGCATGCCCAATTTATAACCTTTCTGAAAATAAAGTTTGTTCTTTCATTCCTAGTTAATTATTTTATCCATTTCAAGAATCTCCCAAAACATTAAAAAAAAATATAATCTAAATTCCTTTTTTCTTCTTCTGTATTAAAAGAAAGGATGGTTGGCAAGTTGTGATGTGGTTAATGGCACACTGCAATTTTAGTCCAACACATCTGATTTCAGCAAACCTGTACTGGTTTTATGACATGCACAATAGTTTTTTTTTGTTTTTTTCAGTTCCTAGAAAGCCTGGTATGTAAACAGCTTTATCCCTTGATTTCACTCTACAGCATAATGTGCTTTCCTATTTTTCATATTTGGTCAGAACACACTAAAGAAATCAGACTTTCCCAAAAGGTTACTACTACTATGTATATTATCACTTTGAATATAATTAGTTAAAAAATTTTCATCATGCTTTTTTTGTTTTTTTTTGGTTCTTAACTTCACACATCTCTCTCTGAGCCTTATTGGTTATAAAGAGTTGACAGTAAATGGGTTTACTCTTTTATCTGTCACCCAAAATGGGACCTTGAAACCTGCACTAGAAAATCGCTACTGCTTGACATCGGCTCTATCCAATGCCTGTGAGTTGTAACACTGACGCATACATCACACAATATTTGCTTTGGAAGACTGAGCATTTACGGGTGTGACAGGTGTGCTGTGATACAGATTCTTCTTCTTTTCATTCTCCCTGTCAGTGGTATAAGGCCATAGGCCTCTCGATGAAGTCAGTGGTTATGGCTCCTGTCTTCCACTGTTCCATACAGTTTGGAATGCCAATTGGCCAAACCAGGGATCTCTTTAACTCTTTAAGGCCCGAGCAATGTAAATAATCTTCTTCTTCTTCTGCGTTCGACATCAGTCATGCTAAACATTGAGTCCTGTCTGGGTCACAAATAGGATTGTGAGTGTGAGTGCTGACTGAGAAGTTCCGTTTTGCCCAAACAACGCTGTCATCATCAATCATGTGTCCCATACATATTGCTTCACACACAGCTCCGTACATGTTTCTAATGTTCGGAACTATGATTAAATTATTCAGGAAAAGTCACTCTAAAGATCTCCTTTTAACTACATTCTGTATCCCAAGCCCTACGTGCATAGATTGATCTGATTCATAGCTACATTTTTTTCAACAGTGCATTTTCTAATTTCTTTTTTGAGGGCCATGAATACCAAGGTTCCAACCACAAGTACAGGTCGCAGAATGCGTCTTTCTGCGGGCAAAGCTCTGAAATTGTTTCAGTCAGATGTTTTTAATTCAGATGATGATAATAAAAATTTAGATTTTTCGGAAAAGTGATTCGGACGGTGAATTTTCACCAGCGAAGCTGAGCGATCAGCTGTTGGGAATCTAGTGATTCTGATGAATTTACACAGACAATGTACTACTGCCACAGTAATTATGGTGTAAAAGAAGCCCGCCCGCTCTAAACAAAGAGATTGTACTATATTATGGCTAAGCTACATTGAAATCATTGCAGCTACAGTCTGTATATAAGTGTAAATAGTAAATAGCGTGTGTGTAATGGCTCATTTTTCCTCTGAAATTTTGCTCAGCACTCTGTGAGAACTAAGAGCCCCTGAGTGCTAAACTAACCCAGAAACTTATCATAACTTTGGAATTTTTTAGGAAATTAAACAAACTTTGAAGTTTTATTCTCAGATTTTGATATTTACTACTCTTGTGGCTGCAAAACCATGGTAAGTGAAGAATTTGTTTGTAACATGTTGTTGTTTTGAAATTAACACCTGCTGAATTCTTCTTTCCTACTAACTATAACAAAATTAAACATACACTTATCATCAGATTCAAAATTTACATTCATTTCTCTTTTAAAAAAATATATACTTTTTTATGGATTAGAAGTATATTACATTTTCTATTGCCTTTCTTGTACACCATCCCCTCTGCCATTTTTGTAAAGCGAAATTAATGTGGGCTAAGTTTGTCAAAATTCATGGGCCTGAAAGAGTTAATGCATGTAGACAGTGTGTCTGTAGCACAAGTTCAGTATTCTCTGGTTCCTGTCCATCTGGGGAAAGTGATGCTGATTCTTGAATCAGTCATCTCTAACACTGACAACAACTCACCTGCAACCCTGCATATCTCATCCTTGGTGTTCCCTTTCAAATGTTTGCTGTTTGTTTGTGCAAAGTTGTTTAACGTCTGGCCAATTTCTGCCGTCTGCCGTACTTTTTCCTGAAAATACAAATAGAGGTTTTAATAACTAGGAGATCTACAATAATTTAGGGTATGTGAGATCTACAACAATTGAAGACACTGCAGATCTACAATATATGATGACACAAAAGATCTACAACATTTCATGATACAACAGATCAACAATATTTTATCCACAAAAGATCTACAACATTTAATGACAAACACATCTATAAGATTTGATGACACAAAAGAGCTGTAACATTTGCTGACACAGTAGATCTATAACATTTGATGACACGAAAGACCTACAACATTTGATAACACCACAGATGTATAATATATGATGAAATAAAAGATCTACAATATTTGATGACACCACAGATCTACAAAATATGATGACAAAAAAGATCTACAATATTTGATGACACAACTGATCTACAATATTTGATGACACAGAAGATCTAAAAACAGTTGATGACATAAAATATGTACATTTGATGTCACAATATCTATATGATAGAAAATATCTACAACATGTGATGACACATCAGACATATAATATTTGATGACACAGAAGATCCATGGCATTTTTGGACACAACAGAATAGATGTATAACATTTGATGACACAAAAGATCCTCAACATTTGATAACAAAACACATCTATCATATTTGATGACACAAAAGATCTACAACATTTGATGACAAAACAAATCTATCATATTTGATGAAACAACTGATCTACAATATTTGATGACACCACAGATCTACAAAATATGATGACAAAAAAGATCTACAATATTTGATGACACAACTGATCTACAATATTTGATGACACAGAAGATCTAAAAACAGTTGATGACATAAAATATGTACATTTGATGTCACAATATCTATATGATAGAAAATATCTACAACATGTGATGACACATCAGACATATAATATTTGATGACACAGAAGATCCATGGCATTTTTGGACACAACAGAATAGATGTATAACATTTGATGACACAAAAGATCCTCAACATTTGATAACAAAACACATCTATCATATTTGATGACACAAAAGATCTACAACATTTGATGACAAAACAAATCTATCATATTTGATGAAACAAAAGATCTACAACATTTGATGCCACAGATATACAGCTTTTCATGTCACAAAAGATCTATAACATTTGCTGACACAAAATGTCTACACCATTCGAGGACACAAAGTCAATAACATGTGATGACATAAAAAGTATACAATATGTGATTACAGAAAAGATCTATAAAATACAACTAAATAAAAATCGATCCATTTGATTTTACCTGAGATCTACAACGTCGTGTGCTGATGTTATATGCAACATGTCATGCCATGAGACAGGTAGAAAATGTACTTTCATAAATTATACATAATAAGGCAATGGCATAAATGTCTACAGCCTTTGGTGGCATAAAAGTTCACTCACTACCACAACTTACCACATTTGACAGCATAAACAATCTATAACACTGGGGAAAAAAAGCACGCACGCACCCGCCCGCCTGCACGCATACATGCACACAAACAAACTATTTATGATTAACAAAAAAACTTTAAAAACTCTGACAGGGCAGGAAGGACCCACAACATACATATGATGTTTAAATGAGATAGTGGAAAGCGACAACATACAAACACAGGCAGGTCTCTGTGAAATGAGATAATGAAAGGAGAAAACAACATAGAGACAAAGGCAGGACTGACGACTATGATATTACCTCAGCTTGTCTGAGAGAAATACTGAGGGCCATGAGCTGTGCCTCCAGGAAGTTGCAATACCTGGTCAACTCCTTGACTTTGTCCTGCTGTCTGACAATTCTCATTGTGACATCATTTCTGACAGAAGACTGGCACAGAACGTTGTCAAGGGCTTGCTGCACCTGGAAAATATAATAACTTTTCAACCTTTTCAGACCTAGACAGTTGCTAGTTCTCTTTCTTCCTCTTCTTCTTCCTCTTTTTCCACCTCTTCTTCTTCTTCTTTTTCTTAGAGTTCAACAGCTCAGGCACAAAGCTCTAATTGTTTGTCCATACTTGTTCTTTGGCCTTTATCCAGATTTTTTAGTTTTGCACACACAACTGTTTTACAGATCTGGCTTAACTGTGTGCTGACAGTTGATTCCCTGTTTGCTTCTCATTTAGATGCACTCCAACTTTGAAGGAAACATCTCTAGCTGGTGGCCTCCTATGGCATGCTTGTTAGTGGGCAGTGGGTTTGTTCTTTATTTTCCAAAACAGAGTCCACAGGGAGCTGATCAAAAACCTTCCATCGAAAGCAAGGTAGAAGGGAAGAGTAGATGAGACAGACCAAGAACGACCTGGGTACAGAATTTGGCTGGAGGAATAGGCTTTAAAGATGCAAACGACACATCCTTTGCATCTACTGACGGAGATGGAGGCAGCCGATCTGACAGTAAACAGCAACTGATCACCCATTGAATGTGGTGTTAAGTGACTATCATGATAACGATGATGATGTATGGTACTTTACAGTAACAATGTTTGAGTTTATGAAATAAAATTATACAACAATGAGACAGAATGAGTTAAAGTGACAAATAAGATAAAATAGGTTAAAGGAAATTATGAATTGGACAGAAGGCAATAAGAAATATGTAGTTTCATTTATTCATTGACTTGTTCTGCTGTGTGTTATGCTATATAGAGCTTTCCATTAACTCCCTTATGCCCTTCTATGTGTGCTTTTCTTTTCATTTAGTATGTAGTCTAGACAAACTACTGGACTAATTCGCCTAGAGAAAACCACACAACAGCCAGGGGCTATTGGGGTTGGTTCTGCAACGTCCTGTAAAGGTTATGCAACTAACCTTTTATGTAGTTTAGAAGTGACTAAACAGAGGTGAAAAAGAAAACATGACTTGAAAGCACACTGCAGAGACAGGAAAACAAGCAAACAATTACAACTGAATGTTTTGATCAGTCTTTATCAGCTTCGCTGCAGTCAATCCTATTTACATCATCACTTTTGATTAGGCCTGTACCGAATAGTGATTTTCACTATTCGGCGGAATACGAATAGTGGGACCAACTATTCGACCGAATACGAATACGAATAGTGTATCATCATCATCAGGTGACTTGTCGACTGGCGTATGTGATCATGCCTCTCCACAATCTGCTATCTCTTGCAGCATGTATCAGTTCGTGTGCTGACACACCTCCATGCCTTGCAACAAGGCTGTCAAGAATCTTCTGTCGTTGTCTTCCTCTATCCCTCCTTTCCCAGATCTTTCCAGTGGTCACCACATGTTCCATTTTCCCTCTTCTCATAACATGGCTGAAAAAATGTGATTAGTTGTCTTTGGGCTCCCGCCTCTTTCAAAACCATCATTCGCTCGGCCGTTTGTTCGATGTAATTTAAACGCACCTTCATATTCTCGTTAGCAATATCATCAGATTTGATTTTGGCGAAGACATCCTGAAAAAACAAAAAATGCATGATCTCTCTCTTTCTCCCTCTCTCTCTCTCTCTCTCTCACCCACACACACACAGACACACACATGCACTCACACAGACACACACTGCGATTGGCATTTTATGCAGTTTGTACCACGAAACCAGGTCGCAGTTTCCCCCGCTACGACAGGCTAAGGCAACTGCAACTATTGTGTTAATGAGAGAGTTATTTCAGTCCATCACAGTGTATGCAGAAACGGGATTAAGGGAACCACTATTCATATTCGGCTCGACCGCAACTATTCGGCCGAATACCGAATAGTTATTAGGTCCACTATTCGGCCCCGAAGCGAATACGAAGCGAATATTCGGTACAGCCCAACTTTTGATGTTCAAAATAAGCTTGACCCATGAATTTTCGAGCCACCATGTGTGTTGAAAAAGACTCTGGTTAAAACCTTTAGTAGTAATGGCCTTCTAGTCATAGATTATGTTGTGTTTAGTTACTTCTTAATCAGCAGCTGCGTGTTCTTAAGCAAAATGAAGCGCTCGAACCCACACGGTAAAATATGTTGATGATACAGTCTAGATCCTTAAAAGCTGAAATGCAGTTACAAAAAATAAAAACAACGCCTAAATTATTCTTATAATATTCACAGAAAAGGAAAAAAAAACCACTGTTCTTTGGTCATGTGATGAGGATAGGAGACTTTGGAGAATATTGTGACGACTGAGAAGATCAATGGTAGAAGAGGAAGAGGTAGAATAAGAGAGATGATGACGGATGGACTGCCACGGACATCATCGGTGAAACTGATCCAGAGGACAAGAGACTGAGATCTGAGGAGAATCATGGATGCCTATGTCAGTCAGCAAGACACGTGATGATGATGAATGATTCACACAAAAATCAAAATTTGTATTCCCTCACCTGTTCCATTTTGACTTGTTGATGTTCCTGACTGTTACGCAGCTGGCTGATCTGCCCATGAATATCCTCCAGGCTGCGTTCCAGCTGCGGAAAAGAGCAAAACGTAATCATAATCACATAGAAAAAACAAATTCATTCAGTCCACAGAAAGTCATTAGGGCAGCCCCATTAGTGTGGTGGTTAGACATTTACCAGTCGGCGTGAAAGTACAGTGTTTGAATCCCCACTGGGTGAGCACAGAAGATTGGAACTTGGCTAATAGGATGGCCCACCCTAAAAATGCCCATATCATCCACCAGATTTTGACTGGTCTTTGGGTCTAGCATCATATAACCTGTGCACACTGGCATGAAAAGTGGCCTTCAATTCTTCTGTACCAAGTAGCATAATGATCACTCTTTGATCACTAACTATAAACAGTTATTTCATTTTTAGGCTCATCTTTTACATTTTGACTCTTTCTTTACCAAGTAAATGACCACTTGGACTAATGCTATAAAGGACCCTTTCCCATGTCTATGGTGTATTGGGCATTTAGGGCTAGAGCTTTATTTTACAGATCAATTGATTTTCGGTGGGTGATGTGGTCAACCCTGATATCAGGAGGAGAGTTAAAAACACAGAACCAATAATGAACTTGATCAGTAGGCAACAGATCAAGTGGTTTGGCCATGTCATAAGATTGGCATCATTCAGGGCACCACAGTTATACAGATACAGTGGTAACAGCCAGAAGTTGGCCATGCAGAAGATGGAATGAAGAAATATCAGAGACACTGAAATGTATAATATATGAAGCCAAAAGAAGGACCCATTCCAGAGATCTCTTCCTGCTTTGATGCTGCGAGGCTTTCAAGGAAAAAGAAGAAAAGAAATAAATGATTTTGACTTTCTTTACAAGTTAATACTCACTTGAACTCTTTCTTTACCAAATAAGTTATTTACCAAGTAAATTCTTATTCAGACTCAAATTATGAAATTAAAAAAAGATTTAGCTGAAAGTGAAAACTCTTTAAGATGGCTGACTGGAAGATGGACTAGAGCATGCAGACAGACGACCAGTATAATATGGCACCAACTGAGAATAATGACACAAACCCTGTGTTGTTTTAAAGTTAACAAATTAATACAATATGACCATTCACCTGTTTGGACTTCAATGGATTATAAGTATTAATATCAGTATTCTCTCTATCTTTGCCATCTTTGTAGGAATTCTCATAGCCATCTGACGAAGGGATGGACAAGGCATGCTGGAAAAGATGCTTCAAAAAGTCTTTGACCATCTTGAAGTCTTCCTGTAAAAAAATTCAAGCAGATAATTAGTCAATTAATGGAGTTTTCAATATCACTAGCCACCTAAAAACTGTTTTAATTCTATGCCAGTGAAGATCATTCAAAATCTTGAAGAGATGCTTCCAAAAGTTTTTGACTATCTTGAAGTCTTTCTGTAAAATAATTCAAGCAGGTAATTAGTTAATGGAGGTTTCAACATCATTGCAGACAGTCATCCAATAACTGCTTTGTTTCTGTTTTAGTGGAAATCCCACAAAATGTCCTTCGCTGTAATATTTGCAAACCAATGAAAAACTTGTCAGGCTTAACAAAATCTTAAAGCTTGCACTTACAAAGTGACAAAACTAACAGTCACACACCTGAACTGCATGCAGCTCAATGTTGATGCAAATGCCAGAATTTAAAATCAATATGAAATGTATAAACACATTTAAAAGAAAGAAAACTTGTCAATTCCAGCGAAATCTTGAAGTTTGCACAAGCTAATTTGAACAAATGATACAACCAAATAAAATGGTTTGCACACTCAGAGAGAATGCATTGTAATGTTCACCATTCACAGCAAATACTATAAGAGGAGAGGGATAAAGCTCAAGGTGGACAAAGAAAATAGTTTGCCTACTTAGATTACAAAACGAGTGGGGGAAAGCAAAGAGCCAATTGTTAAAACAAAAATTGCTTATTTATCAAGCTTGTGCCACTAGTTAATATTTATGGCTGTGTATTGATTTCACATGCACTGCCTTCAAAGAATATTTGGCATTAAATGAAGAGATAGCAAACATTAAGGTAATGGGTAGAGCAGATCTTGTAAGAAACCTGTGGGAGTGAGTGAAGGGTGCGTAGGCACAAATAGATCATTACGGTCTGAAGACAGTGGTGCTGTGGAAAGTGACCAGGAGATCTGGTCGACGCTCAAAACTCAGAGGAAAGGTGAGAGGGATATACTGTTATAGACTGCTATTGATACCATCTGTTGTTGGGAATGGAGCATTTATGGTAATATCGAGAACCGTAGTGTCAATTCAATATTCAACAATACCCTAATAATGAATTACAGATAGATAGAATATGACTGAGGTAATTCTCTATCACAATAATTAGTTGTGTGTAAGGATTACATTGCATAAAGGAGAACAAACTATTAAAGAAATAGGGACAAAGGAAAAAAAGGATAGCAAAAGGTTATTAGCTGGATGTTTGAGGTGCATGTTAAATACATGTGATAGAAAAAATGTTCCTGAAAGCTTATTGAGGAAGATTCTTCTTAAGGTGATCTTTTCTTGCTAATCACACATGCCACTGCCAGGAAAAGTTCATCACGCTTTTCTATCCTACAATGGAACATCGCCACCGGGAAGGGCATACAGGTACAAACTAAACAAACCTAGACTGAACGCCTTGTGATGATATACTGTATACTTCTTCAGCTTCTTCTTAGCGTAAACCCCAGCAGAAAGTTCTAGTTTTTCATCCATTTACAGACTTCAGTCTTGGTAAAGAACTTGAATTTTGCATGCACATCCATTTACTGTTAATTTGTATGCAGATTGTTGGTTCCTCACCTCTCAGGCAGATGTGCTCCGACTTCGGAGCAAATATTACTGATCAGTCGCTTTTTACAACATGCTTAATAACAAGGCAGTGGGTTTATTTTTATTTTTTTCCCCTTAAGATGTGGCCCTGGAACCCACACATGGACACTATACAAGGTTGATATCAGATAAGGAGAGGGATACTGAGCCTGGGCCAGAGCAAGAAAAACCTGAATGGGTGACCTAATTATAACTCCCTTCAAAGTTGAATAAGGTATCTGGGATTTGTCTGCAATCAAGACTGGGATTTTGTAATCTCAGGGTTGTCAGATCTTCAGATTGCAGCCCTGAAGGGAAAAAAAAACAGCTTAATTTCCCACTGCTGGTCTAAGCAATAATCTTCTGTTGTCCCATTCTGAACCTCAATGAACTTTCATGACTGTGTGACACAACTGTTCTCTTTGTGCTGATTCTGTCGAGGATACAAGCATTGCATCACTCAGGAAAGTAATGGCAAACTTGTTATTGTCCATGCCGTGATGCATTGGTAATCATGTGGTGTCCACAGATTTCTATCTTGTGTACTTTCAGTCATTTTAGTCACATATGCTTTCCGCATGATGAAGTGCCCAGCACCTTTTCTCTTGGTCTTCCTCAATGGCAATAGAATGTAAAAATGTCTAATAAAACCAATCAACAACCAGTGGCAAGGTATGATCTGCATGTGCAAGCTGTTTTCTGACAAAATTAAGCGTTAGCAGGTAACGGTTACATCCGAAAGGGTATCACATGATTTTTTTTTCAGCTGTTGGTAGTTCTCAAACAGTACAGTTTCTGTATGAGTGGCGTAAAGCACACAGCGAACAATCTTTTAGCTAGTTTAACACTGTCAACAAGCGTTACGTACTCCACGAGATGTAAACCAAGTGCCGTATTTGTAATAAATAGTTACAGTATTAACAAACAGTAAAATAACAGTAAAATAATGCATTTTTCTTCTGATATGTACATTAAAAGTGGCGATTACAACTATTCCATGAATGCGTTGCCACTGACAACAATCAATAACTACCAGGGTTTCTTAGCAATAGCCAGAAGAGGACGTGCAGCTTACTTCCGTAACTATGCAGTTTATTCATATGGGGGTACAAGAAAAGGAACAGGCTGATAGACTTGCAGGTAAGGCTACTGTGAATGCCGGACAAGCCATGGACCAGGCTGATATACTGAATGTTCTACGAGATTTAAAAGATGTTTGCGTGAACCAATGGAGAACTTTGAATCTGCAACCATGGTCATAATGCAAGAACAGCAAGTTAAACCCCGGGTGTCGCCAAACAAAAACGATACGGGAGTAGCCAAAGAAGAAGACTAAACCCACACAGAACTAGTGTGATCAGCCGCTACACACTGCAGGATTTACTAGGGAGGGGATCTGAGCACGTATGGACTGAGTGGTTCCACGTGCAATGAGGATAATCAGTTGACCAGCTAACGAACTAACTATGCAGTTTATTCTGGTATTTTTAAATATTTTCTATAAGGGCTAAACAAAAACAAAAAAAAAAACAAAAAAAAAAAAAAAAAAAAAAACAATCAGAGAACTATCTGAACAACTGCTAGTATATTAAAAAAAAAAAAAATAAATAAAGATCCCTTTTCATGCCTAAGCAGATTATCAACAGTCTATTCATACGAACACTGGGTTACCAGCGCCAAACGTGGACATTATCTAAAGCTAACCTACGTAAAATTAATACCTGTGAAATAAGATGTCTGAGGAAACAGGCCAAGTTTAGCAATTCGAGACAAAGTTAAAAATAATTCTGTCATACAGAGCATGGGAACAGCACCATGCATCAAATTCATTTAGAAACAGAAGATCAAATAGTTTTTTCATCTCTTATAATACAGCCGTCGGCTCTGTGGCTAAGTCAATGCGAACGATTTGTAATGCCGGGTTCAATCCCAGCTGCGGGTCATGCGCCTTACGTTGGTTTCCACAGGGGTATCAAGAAAGCCGACCGTCCAGAAGGCAATGGCAAACTACTGGACATAAATTTGCCTAGAAAAACCACACAACAGCCAGGGGCTGTTGGTGTTGGTTCTGCAACGTCCTGTAAAGGATACGCAACTAACCTTTATAATACAGCCACAACAGCTACAGAAACACTGGCGTTAAATACAATAATAACTAATGTGAAAGAAAAGTTCGTCCTAGGAGAAGACAGGTAATGACATTAAAGAACTTCTATATCGACACAGAATGACATTAGCCATTGCCACCCATCAAGCAATGGATCGCAAACTGTTCCTCCCCGCGTCGCTTAATGACAAAAATGAAAAATGATGATAAGATCACCTGCAATTTATTGTACTGTGCTTCCAAGGCGGCATGTTCAGGAGAAGTCGGGGATGAATCTCCAACAAATATTAAGGAATTCCTTTTAACGTCAGCAGCAATTATGTCATCTTCTGCATCAGGTAGAATTGTGGTTTGGTCGGAGCTACTTGCAGACGACATGCGATAGGAACGCGCTCTTTGTCGCAGGAGATCGTTTTCCTTTCTCAGCAATCTGTTTTCTTCCTCTGACGCCTGTGGGGATTTCAAACTGCATTATAAAAAGGAGGAAACAGAAAAAGTGGCAGCAGGAGGAGGAGAAGACAGAGAAGAAGGATAAATGACAGGAGGAAAATGTAAACACAACACAAATATTTAAAAAACAAGAAAGAAAGAAGCAGACGAAGAAGAAGAAGAAATGGAAGAAGAAAAAGAAGAAGAAGAAGAAGAAGAAGAAGAAGAAGAAGAAGAAGAAGAAGAAGAAGAAGAAGAAGAAGAAGAAGAAGAAGAAGAAGAAGAAGAAGAAGAAGAAGAAGAAGAAGAAGAAGAAGAAGAAGAGGAAAGGGGGAGACAGAGACAGAGGAGACTGAAAGAAAAAAATAGGAAAACAGGAGAAGCAGATACGATGTGAGAGAAGAAGTAAGGAAGAAGAAAAGGAGTAGGAATAACAATAGCAACAGCAGCACACACTAACATCAAAACAACAATACCATTGATAAAAATGATTATTAACATAATTCTTTGAGAAGAATATCGTGTTTGAATTTCGTCTAGTACGACGTGTTTCAGTAATTTAAAAAAAAATTTACTTGGGGGGGGGGGGGGGGGGTTGGTGGAGACTTGTCTTTTTTGCTCTCTTTGTTATCTCTTTGAGTCCCAGGTGGTTTAATACCAGAAGCCCAATGGGTAAAAGAGACGTAAAATCGGCGCATCTTGCGTTCATTGGGCCTCTAGGTAGGAACCTATGAACCTTGCAGTTAAGGTTCCCCCCCCCCCCCTCCCCCCCCCCCCCCCCCCTCCCATTGGAATTATCAGAAACGACAGAGGATGATGGAATTGATGCAGGACATATTTGTCTACAAACAAGGGTATCTTGGGACGTGATGTCGCTGTAGCCAACACGTTTTTTCACTAGATAAATATTCTTTCTTCTCTCCCTCCCCTCTAGCTGGGGCTTTAACACCGGGACACGAGCATGACAGGCAAAGCTAGAGATTGACAACAGCCGGACATTGTCAATAAAGGAAGTAATTGAATGAATAATATCCCCCCTTTTAAAATCCATATTTATAGCTCTGCCAAAGAAACTAGGCACTTTAAAATGTGAAGACCATCGCACAATAAGTCTTATGAGTCACACGACTAAGATTTTACTGAGAATAATTATGAGAATAATAAAAAACAAAATTAAACCAGAAATCAGCGATGAACAATGTGGATTTGTAGAAGGAAAAGGTACAAACAATGTCCTAAGGACATTGTCAGAAAGAGCTATCGAAATAAAGACTGATTTGTACTTATGCTTTAAAGACTATACAAAAGCATTTGACTGTGTGAAGCATGAAGAAGTAATCAAACTGTTAGAAAAATTAAACATTGATGGGAAAGATCTACGAATAATAAAGAATATGTATTGGCAGCAAACAGCAGCTATAAGAATAAACAACTGTTTAGGTACATTTCAAAGCATAAAGAGGGGCGTACGACAAGGATGTGTACTGTCACCTGATTTGTTTTCAATATACAGTGAATATATAATGAGATCTTTTATTGATATGCCCGGAATTGTGGTTGGTGGGCACAATATAAACAATTTACGTTATGCTGATGACACAGTCTTGATAGCAACAAATCAGAAAGAATTACAGGAAATGATAGACATTGTGGTGTTAGAAAGTGGAAGAATGGGCCTCAGTTTGAATAATGGGAAGACAGAAGTAATGGTGGTATCAAAGAAACAAATTATTCCTAAATGTGTAATAAAAGTCAATGGTGTTATTTTAAGACAAGTACAGAAATTTAAGTATCTGGGCACATGGATAACATCAGATGGAAGATGCATAACTGAAATAAGAAACAGAATTGGACAGGCAAAAACTGCATTTTATAAAATTAAAAACATCTTGTGCAATATATCCTTGTCTTTGAGAGTTAGAAAAAGAATTCTTGCTTGCTACATACATCCAGTTTTAACATATGGATGTGAATCCTGGACAATCGGTAGGCAGGCCAAACAATTTTTAGAGGCCTCAAAGATGTGGTTTTACAGAAGAATGCTTAGAATACCTTGGACAGCCAAAAAAAAAAGCAACCACGAGGTTTTGAAAGAGGCGGGAGCCCAAAGACAACTTATCACAGACATCAGAGGGAGACCGTCATCATTTTTCGGCCATGTTATGAGAAGAGGGAAAATAGAACATGCTGTGACCACTGGAAATATCTGTGGAAAAAGGGATAGAGGAAGACAACGAGAGAAGATGCTTGACAGTCTTGTTGTATATCATGGAGGTGTGTCGGCACCCGAACTGATACATGCTGCAGGAGATCACAGATTATGGAGAGGTATGATCGCCCACGCCAGTCGGCAAGGCACCTGATGATGATGATGATGAATATCCCCCTGCGAGGATTCCGGAACCACGTTGTAGAGGGAGGAAAAGAACAGACGCAGTGATCCTTAACATACATGTCGTAAAGGGCGGGCTACTAAGCGAGAATTTATGGAAAGTGGATGCTGAGATAAAAGGAGCAGATTTCACAGTGGTGCTGGAAACCGCAACTCAAAGTATTACCTGCTGGTCTTTTCTGTCCGCCAGCGAAGAAGAGGTACCATTCTTCCATCCATTTATGAAAACAAACTAAAAATCCACCATGTTCAACCAGCTGTGAGCAGTAAAAATTGTAATTGTGGTCTGATTTCTTTGCGCTAAGTATTATGGCTAAAAAGTCTTCTTCTTCTTCTTCTTCTTCTTCTTCTTCTTCTTCTTCTTCTTCTTCTTCTTCTTCTTCTTCTTCTTTCCTCTTCTCCTGGAATGTCTCGCTGCGTCAGGCGAGGAAGAGATCTACGGAATTGGCCCTTCTATTCGCTTCGTACAAAGTTCTTGTCAGTATCTCTGATATTTCTGCGGTCCATGGTCTGCGTGGTCGGCCTCTGGATATGGTACTGC